CCCCAAAACCCCAAAACCCCAAAACCCCAAAACCCCAAAACCCCAAATCCACTATCCCATTGAAATCCCACTTAACCCTCTCAAACCCAACCTCTAACCTCCCAGCCATACCCAAAATCTAAAAATCTCTTCCTCAAAACCCCCTATCTCTTCCTAAAATCTCCACTGCTTAACAACTCCACTTAAAATTCTAGAAATGTACGCAGAGAGGTTAGGATTTTGGGTATTAATGGAGTCTTTGTTGTTTGTGTTGGGGTAAGACTTAAATCACATGTATATTTAATTTGGAATTTGTCTTTTGTTCTTTTTCAAAATCTCAATTGTCTTCTTGCATTTGCGGCATCTAAAGGTTAGCTATTGGCTGACTTTCTTTCATGGATCTTGTAGAATGAGCATCATAAAGGGATTAAGGCACATAGTCATCATCCTAATGAGCAAAGAATAGATATGAAAATCCAGTGGAACATGGACCATCTGGCTTTAATTAAGGTCTTCCCAAGATGTCCACAGTGAGGGCATTTAAAAACATTTCCTTCAGTTTTAGAAGAATTTAATGAAATAGAAGATTTTGATGATTTTTGCAAAGCTGATTCAGTGTCATATCGAGGCTTCTTTGTATGAAATCGAGGCTCTTCCTCCTTCCTAGACTCTCTTGGAAGTTGATAGCTATCAATAGAATCTCCTCGAGAGTGATTAAAGTATCTGGGATCATGATTTCTTTGAGTAAAATCGTGGAATACAGGCTCTATTCTTTCAATATTTCTACGCCTTGTTCTTTTCTTATGTGTATAATTACCTGTCCTTTTTGGGTATTTATTTCTCTGATCTTGTCGATATCCAAAATCTATATCTCTTGAAGGATCATAGTAGCTCTCATTTTCTTGATCCAAGTTCAGAAAGTTATTTTCTATCAGAGATTATTAGCTTGGATGATTTAGGTTATATTTATTTTCAGAGTTGATTGGTAACTTCCAAAAACTTTAATGATGTCATCAAGAGTTTTCTTCCAATATATATTTTAACTAGCTCAGGTTTTAGATAACTGGTTCCCGTTTTTAATATTTGCTGTCTATTAGAACTTACCGAAAGCTCTTCGATTTCTTGAGAATCTAGGATTTCGCAGGATTCTTTCTCTATTCATTCTTGCAATAATATATGATCAATTTTTCAATAATTTATGCTGCAAAAGGGGTTTTGGGGTTTTGGGGTTTTGGGGTTTTGGGG